AATTATAATTATAATTTTAAATTTAATAATGTAGACTAACAACATAAAATGGTTAAAATAATTTGGCTATTAATGCTGTTGTATAACTACAATATTAATATGAAGATCTCAAACTACAAACCAACTTAAATTATGGATTAATTGAAGTTAAATTTTTCTCAGTATATAATGAGCTTTTTTCAGACATAGATTGTTATTTTTTTCATCAAATTTTATTTTGTTGAGATTTATTTAGCACATCAACATGCTATTTTCTCCAAAGTTAGCACGGCTTTAGCAGCTCCTTTAATTCCACAGCTGAAGCTGCTAAAACTGTCAGATATTTTTTTCTGGATCTCTGAGAGCAGGACTTTAATCTGCAAACTTATAAAGTTCTTCTTTTTATTTTGTGATGTCATTTATGAATGGACACTTCCTGGTATCTGAGGCAGGAAGCGTTGCCTTATATGGTGTTTTTAGGGTTGTAATTATGCTAATCTCCTGTCCTCGTGTGTGAGCAGCTGATACACATTCATCAGTTTACACTAATTTACACGGTTTTCCTGAAGATAGAAGAGTTTGTTGAATCTGACTGATGTTTGTACGAACCCTTCATACGAACAAAAGTAAGAGAAATTTAGGATAAGAATACAAACATGTTCTTGCATGAGACCCAACGTCCAAACTTATTATTCAGACTTGATGTTATTTCGTGTATCTGTTGGATATTATTTATATTTGGAGCCTCTGATTAATTATTTATCAAATCATGAGTTGTCCAGTGATTCAACGCTTCTAAAATGATTAAAAATGATCAAAGCAAATTTGTTAAAGAAATATGAAGTAGTTTAATTTGTATTTGCATGAGTTATCATTCGAGGAGTTGAATTTTTATTTTTGTTTTATTTGATTTATTATTGTGTGAAATTAATTAATATTTTTGTTATAAATAGGAGCAGATGTCATATGATTTTTCTTCTTCTTCTGCTGCCTTACATTTTATTTKATTTGCATTGTTTTGTTGTATGTAATGTGTTTTGTTTTGTTTGTTTTTTTAAATGAAATGAATAAATATAAAGAAAAACCTTGACTGATCCACCAACCGTGAGGATTTTGTAGCTCCCTGCCCTGAAGTCTCCCTGTGCCGTCACCACTCCTGTGACAGGATGGACGTGAAGCCCGTCGTCGCCGCCGTCCTGCAGCTCGTACGTCACCACGGCGTTCGCGCCTTCGTCGTCGTCGCGCGCGACCATCCTGCAGACCTCCACTGTTCCAGACTGCCGGTCCTGCTCCAACGTCTTCACTTGGAAAAGTCTGTCTGTGAACTTGGGCCGGTTGTCGTTTGCGTCCAGAACCTGGATGACGACGGTGGCAGTGGAGCGCAGAGACGGACTTCCGTTGTCCGACACAATAACCTGAAATTACAGTTGGTTGCAGAGAAATGGTTAAAGATGAAGCAACACCTGAAAACAGACAAATAAAATCTTCACTTTAAGACTTACAGCTCTGAAATATGAAAATAAAACTTTGTCTGAGGCTCGGGAAAGGTGCGCCAGGTGTAAAAAGAAATGTTAAAAAATTTCACCAACATATTTTTCGTTGTTTAGCTCACTTTTTGGATGTTAATTTTTCCACTAATATTTTATTATTTAGCTAATTTTTTTCTAAATGTCAAATTTAAATGTTAAAAAACATATTTAGATATTAAATCTAAATGTAAATGTTAAACTTTAAAATGCTGAAGTTCACATTTAGGTGTTATGGAATGGAACGCAGCCTTTGCTGTTGGTGCTCGGCTCATGTTATGATGTCATCATCCTGAGACGATAGCAACCGCTATTTTACAGCTTTTTATGAACACATTTTGAATTTAGATTTTAAATATCTTCAGCAGCATTAGCAGCAGCTGGTGGTGGCTAGCAGCGGCCATTGTTGAGGTTTAATACAGGATGATGACATCATCCTGGTTATCTGATGTTAACATCTGCTAACACTTCTGAAGATTATATTTAAACTCTAAATTCAAAATGTGTTCATAAAAACAATAAGGGTGGTCCCTGTGGTCCAGCAGTTTGAAGTGCAGCTCAGACACCAGCCAGAACTGCAAGTTTGATGTCTTGTAGCTTTAGCTGTTGGAGCGCTAACGGTTGCTATCGTCTCAGGATGATGACATCATAACATGAGCCGAGCACCAACAGCAAAGGTTGCATTCCATTTCAAAATACCTAAATGTGAACTTTAACATTTAAGGTTTAAATTCTACATTTAGATTTAAACATTTAGATTAAGGATTTATTTTTAAATATTTTTTAACATTTAAATTTAATATTTAGTAAAAAAAAATAGGTAAAGGGTTAGGGTTAGGGTTTGTTA